TTCCAACCTTAGTGATTCTGTGATTCTACATTGAAAATAGAAAACCTTTCCAAACTTAAGACAGACTACTGCTGAGGTCTCTAAATTAATGTGTGTAGGGATTTGCAGCCTGCAGCAGACCCACAGCATTCTCAGATCATACAACATTTGTTGTGGTTTTCATGGTTTCTAGACTTGAGTCCCAAATACTTGATACCAATTTGGCAGCCTCTTCACTTTGTTTCAGTAAAACAGTAAATCCTTGGGAAGCAATTATACACAGCTTACAAATACAGAAAGCTGAAACACACAGAAAACCAAGTTCTGTAGCTGAACATTTTTCTTAATTATTCTTAATTTACGTTTCAGACTTGGTAATTTCAGTGATCTTTAATTCTATAAGATAGGTGGTGTTTTGGTTTGTTGTTTTTTTTAATAACTTATCTTCATTTAGTATTTTCAGATAGCAGTGTTAAAAGGTAATTAGAACAGCTATTCACCAGATGAAAAAAAAATAATCTTACCTTGGCCCTGAAGGTGAGAAATGTCCAAGCCCTCCTTCAGGCGGATGACAACTACACCATACTGAATATCAAAGGCATCACTAAACAAAAGGAACAAAAATAAAAAATTTTACAACTTCTTCTTTCCCAACAGACCTACTATACAAACCCTCGAACAAATTCCAGTGACTAAACACTGTCATTTAAACTCCCAAATCATAAATTTGTGTTACAATTTCAGTTTCAATTTCAAACTATCAATTGCATCAGTGAACTGTACACCATATCCTGAAAAGCAACACATGGAAAGGATATCTATTCCCCCTCTTCCCTCTCTCCCCTGTGTAAAGAAAGATTAAATAAAAGCAACATGAACAGGTCAGTCAAGTTCTGCACAGATGATGACAAGATGCACTGAGAAATCTAAATTTTTATCTCCTCCCATCAATTGAGGGATTTATTTTGAGTAGATCTCCTAGATCTAACAACTAAAATTTTCTGATGTCTTTACAAAACATGTGTGTATTAAAAACACGTATGAAGTTGTAATTTAGTATCAAATTATCATCTGTAAATTAGCTATAATGTGCCTATTTCCATTATATTTGATGGGGAAAGCACTAGCTTCTTTAAAAAATAAATTAAGAGGGAAAACTTCATTATTGTAGAAACAAGCAAAACCCTGAATAGGGCCGAGTAAAACTGGAGTAAAATGAATGACAAAAAAACCCCAAGATATAAGACAAAAAACCATGAACTTAACTATATCATACAGTTTGCATTAGCCATTAATCATCAGTCCTTTTAATATAGATACCTCATTACAAACCATAAATTGGAGAACTCCCTCCCACATCATTTCCACAGACAGAAATTTCTCAAGATTTCACTCATTAAACACTTCTCTTTAGAAGCAGTAAGAATTGATTAGAAACGTTCAAAGTATCAACATATTCTATAATAAATGCAAGAAAAATTGAGGTTGATTTAAGAAGATGATCTTTTGTCCATTACTGAACATTTTAAATTCATTATTTAATTTGTTAGATCTGTAAAGATTAGATGTGTTTCCTACTGTGTGCTTCAGAAGCTTCCAATTTTCCAGCGTTTTCCAAAATACACTTGACCTATAGTTACTACCTCCTGAGATTTCTCTTTCAGGATGTGGAGAACCACACGGCTTGTTAGCCTTGACAGATCTTCCAGCACAAGCCATTCAAAAATAAAACAGGAAAAAAAGAAAAACCAAGAACTAAACAACAAGTTTCCGTATTTTTCACTGCATTTGGTGCTCCTGCTTTTCTCTTAAGGAACTGGGAGAGTGGGAGGGTATGAATTTTTCCCTTTTCTAATCTCTGCCTATAATCCCCCATCTTCTCTTTCTTTCAAATGCACAGTAAATGAGAAGTGTAAAGCAGAAATGAAGTGGGCTAAGCAGCACATAAGGAAAACAAAAAACCCTCTGTATTAAGTGCAAGAAGCAAGTTTCAGGTTTCTTAAGTGTTTGTAGCACAAGTTATTCTATTAAATTTTTCAGCCAGAACTGGTCTGCCTTTCAGTGGTGTTAAATTACTCTAGGGTTTCCTTTCCCATCTCCTTTTTGGCTATTATATTACTTTGGGTGACAGTGCTGTGTATCTTGCAAGTAAAATATTTCTTGTATAGGAGAGCAAGATTTAACGAAGATACAACTTCAGCACAAGCATTGATTCATTCTCTACTACACTTAATCTGTACAGGAGAAGGTTAGGAAAAACCTTTCAAAAGAAACTATGCTTTAAAGAATTCAGCAGGCTGGCATCTAAGACACTAGTTCCATCTCTAAAGATGGTTAACTCTTAGACCACTGCCACAAGTCTTTCTAGATACAGAGAGAATTATATACAAGTCTAATCTTTTTAAACTATAAAGACTTGCTTATTAATTTCTGTATCAGAAAAAAAATATTGCAGACTGTTGGATAAGCAATATGGAAAATCTGAGTCTAGAACTAAGATCTTCTTATTACCAAACCTACTGAAATGGAACATAAGAGCTACAGCTCTGCATTTTCTACTTACTGGAATAAATTTATATAGGTTTCAACATCTCTCATGTCACCTTGTCTCCAGTTTTTCTTAAATCCAACAACAAGGGTGTTAGGTCTCATTCTACCCAGACCAGCAGCCTAAGAACAAAAAATGTTTTTTAAAACCATGTTATTGAAACAACTAAAGGTTCGATTATTTTCTTGAGCAGAAAACAAACTACTTTTCACCTAAGTTTTAAAGATTACTTTGAAGTATTTTAACTTCACAAAGTTTAAACACACTTCCAATTTTGATGTTCATCTTCACCACTTTCATTAAAAAAAAAAAAATTTGAGAGAGGTGTACCTGCATTAAGTATTGTCCTCCATCCCTCAAGTCCTCTGCATGCACTGGTGCATAGAAAGCCTTCATCTTGTTTTTAATTAGCCATCGCTGATATTTAGCCAAATCAGTTGCCAGTTCCTTCATGGCTTGCCTCCGAGGACCCTTTCAAAATAAGGAAATAAAAAGAGGAGAGGGGACAAGAATTATGAGTATGAGTTGTAATAAAGTTATCCCCCCCCTTTTTTTTTTTAATTTCACTGCTAGAATCCAGTTCAAACTTGAAGAACTTCAAAACATGCTTCCACTCTAACAAGAAAAAACAAAACAACAGAATACCAAGCATTAGCAGCAGCAAAGAGCGGACCAGATTCTTATTTTTAGGAAGAGGGTTACTCAAGCTTTAACTTCCCCAGCAGGTGGCACAAGCATAACGTAGTTCTAAAAGGAAAGGACTTTGTAATAAAACATACACAGATACAGGATGACTTAGTATTAGGCTTTATGCAGTATTTGTTTCAAGCCATACAAGTGTGCCTCTGTACATAATCCTAATCAGAAAGCCTTTGTCACAATAGTGTCACTTCTGCAGCTTTATGTTGCAGTCAAAGTCATCTGCTCTTTAAATACTTTCTTTTTATTACTTCCATGAGGATGAATATTGCATTCCTCCTAGACATCAAAATGCAGAATACAGGATGAGGTATAATCAAGAACCAAGTGTCCCAGATTTTGCAGAAGGATACAGACTCTGACCAAATGGTCAGAGTTAGTAGTGTCATCCTTCTTGTAGAAAAGCAACTTTAAAAAGAGAGAGGATATGCTTCCAGAAAATCTCTAATCAGAATCACTTTCCTGCAAGAAGGATGACACTACCTTATTCTTTTCAATTACAGCCCTACTTTTGAAAGGCAGTAATTCCATCTATGATATCTTACCTCTCTAGTTATTACTCAGTTTCTGTCCTTTGCACTCACTGAAATTTCACATTTGCATAGACAGGAATTAAAACAATTAAAGTTTCTGAAGACAAAACTGGCCAATATTTGCTTCACAAAATGTACGTTCTGTGGATTGCATAAACTTGATTGCTCTTAGCTATTCATTAGATCAGAAGGAGGTCATATTTAGTTAAGTGTGGTAAATTTAAACATCCTTAAGAATAATCAATTCTTTTCTGTAAAGTTACACTTGCTTAAATGTTCTTAACAATGTGACAGAAAAAGTTTGGCCTTAAAATATGAAGTTGAACTACACAATCCTGATACGCTAAAACATACTTCCAACGTTTATTAAAGATGCAACAGCCTCTCTGTAGCTAACTGAAGTTCTGAAACAGATCATAGTATAACAGCCACCTTGTATCACAGTTAAGACAGCTCATGACAAGCGTGATTTTAAAGAACAGTTACCAGAAGCTTGCTTCTTTCTCCCCACCCCACCACCTCCACAGGTCTGCCATAGAAGGTACTACTTTTTTTTTTTTGTATGTCCTTGCATAACAGCTCTCACACACCCCCAACCCCCAAAAAACCCACATCTCATAGCCTGACAAAAAAAACAGGGAGAGTTAATGAAATACTAGGGGCTAGGCAGAAAGGGAACAAGAAACCTGTCCACATTACTGTTTCACCTGCCAATGAAATGAATTTGATAACTGAAGGAATAAAAAAATTACATGAAAGGTTAAGAGCAATTTTTAATTATTAGCTAAATTGATATTGAAATTACTGCTCAAGAAAGTGGATTTTAGACCAGGCTTTGTAAGAAATCTATGCAGCAATCAATCTCCCTGAAATGGTAACACAGAGGAAATCTAGCTGTACACTGCGCATCATTTTGACCAATTGCTCTGTCCAAAACATGAGGACATGAGGCTGTATGACACAAGCACAGATAAGAGACCCAGGCTGTAATCCAATGTTCACTTTACTCCTACAAAACTTCCTCAGCATTTAAACATCTAGTGATCAAAGGTACTAATTTTGCAAAGTTTCTCCTGTAGTATACCTAACTGAAATAGTGATGACCCATACGCAAGTGGGTCCTACCAGTAAATCTCTCTTTTTGCACTTCTCAATGTTTAATGATGCTTTCATTTAAAAACAAACAAACAAACAAACAACAAAAAACCCCACACAAACAAGAATAACAAACAAAAAGCAAACAGGTTAAAACACAAAACAAAACAAAAGCCAAGTAAAGATAGAATACACTTACCATATGTACATGACCACAGATCATCAAGCCTACGTTCTTGGTGAAAGCATGGACAAGGTGAAGCAAAGCTGGACGTGCATTTGGGGCACCAGTCATAATTAAGCACTGAGGCCTACAATGTGAATACATGAGGAGGAAAAACAAAGGTTGGAATTAATTTCATCTGTAGTTGTGGGGCTTTTGTATTAACAGAAGTTTCCTACAAGTATTTGCTATAAGAACGTAACTGTCACTGGAGCGGTGGTAACCTCATGTACTTTTACAAGACTACATTACGTTAAGTAAAGAACAATTTTTCCACAACTGTCAGCAGACCTATGATTAATTGGTTACAAACTTAAATCTGAGTAAATCTGAAAATCCACACATTTAAAAAGATTAGAAACAGATTTTAGACACGACTAGGTCAGAGGGAATAATTTCTTCCCCCATTTGTAAGTTACATCCCTTTGCATTTTCTAGCTTAGATTCTTCTGTGCCCAACAGAAAATTTGTAATCATACGCTTTTTTAAAACTACTGTCATTCGGAAGGTGCAGCCAAACAACTGCAAGTTATTCTAGACAACTTCCTAATGAGTATTAAAAGATGGAAATGTCCAAACTTCAGAACTCAATTCAGGAGATAATTTTTCATATCATAAGAATCACATGAAGTCATCTGTCTCAGCCTCTATAGCAGCTCCACTTCATTCTCCTTATTAGAATCATAGAATAGAATCATAGAATCATTTAGGTTGAAAAAGCCCTTTAAGATAGAGTCCAACCATAAACCTAGCACTGCTAAGTCCACCACTAAACCATGTCCCTAAGGACCACATCTACATGTCTTTTAAATAACCTCCAGGGATGGCGACTCAACCACTTCCCTGGGTAGCCTGTTCCAGTGCTTGATAACCCTTTTGGTAAAGAATTTTTTGTTAATATCCAGTCTAAACCTCCCCTGATGCAATTTGAGGCCATTTCCTCTCGTCCTATCACTTGCTACTTGGGAAAAGAGACCAACACTCACCTCACCACAACCTCCTTTCATGTAGTTGTAGAGAGCAATAAGGTCTCCCATGAGCCTCCTTTTCTCCAGGTGAATCAACCCCAGTTCCCTCAGCCATTCCTCATAAGACTTGTGCTCTAGACCCTTCTCACAAGCTTCGGTTGCCCTTCTCTGGATGTGCTCCAAGCACCTCAATGTCTTTCTGGTCGTGAGGGGCCCAAAACTGAACACAGTGTTTGAGGTGCGGCTTCTCCAGTGCCAAATACAAGGGGATAATCACTTCCTTAGTCCTGCTGGCCAGACTATTTCTGATAAAAGCTACTGGCCTTCTTGGTGACCAAGGCACACTGCCAGCTCATATTCAGCCAGCTGTCAACCGAGACCCCCAGTTCCTTTTCTACCAGGCAGCTCTCCAGCCACTCTTCCCCAGGCCTGTAGTGTTGCATGGGGTTGTTGTGACCCAAGTGCAGGACCCGGAACTTAGCCTTGTTGAAGCTCATACCGTTGGCCTCAGCCCATTGATCCAGCCTGTCCAGATGGCTCTCTAGAGCCTTCCTACCCTCGAGCAGATCAGCACTTCCACCCAACTTGGTGTCATCTGCAAAATGACTGAGGATGCACTCGATCCCCTTGTCCAGATCATTGATAAAAGATATTAAACAGAACTGGCCCAAGTACTGAGCCCTGGGGAACACCACCTGTGACTGACATCAACACTCCTGCTCAACGTGGTATCATCTGCAAACTTATACTATAAATAAATAAATATCGAACTGCTCTGGTTTAGAATATATCTCTAGAACTCAAAACATTTTTGCTATATGTCAGAAACCCGTATCAGACCAAAACCAGTTGTCCTAAAGATACTGTGCTTAAAACTGGCTTACATTAAGGTCTAGATCTTCTTGGGATAACAATTAAAGAAGTTTAAAACTCAGAAAGCTATATACTAGCTTCCCAAAGAAAACAGCTGAACTTCCAATGCAATCCTAAATACATACTGACCATCAAAGTATTCATTTACTCTATCAGCAGAAGCAGAAAGTTACACCTGGCAAGAATTTTCTTATGAAGCTTGTTTCTACATCAAAGTCTGCAACCCAAAATAGACTCACAGCACGCAGAAGTGAGGCTGCAGCACTAATCACAGTTAGATATTGTGAATTATTTAATGCCAGTCTTTAGATTGGCATTAGGGCAAGTTTGAAAATCGCTGGTCATGATACCTAAGCCACAAAAAAGTTTCTGAATGTAGACTGTTTTTCCTGTTAACAATGCAGCTTGATGGAATAGGTAATACAATATTTGTAAATAAATCAGGGATTTTAATGCCACCTAAGGACTTAGGAATTCAGAAAGAAGAGCTGTTTCATAATTAAACTTCAAGTTTTGTGGTTTATACCTACAACAGCCAACTCTCTTCAGTTTGGAAGTGGAAAGCCCATCAATACTCATACATTTGTAATTTAGTTTTACTATCATATTCTTTGAGGTTGTGCTGGTACTTATCACGACTGGTTGACACATCTAATTTCAAGTGTCTGTAGGTATGCAACATAGACATTGTAAGTACCTATCCTGTACTTCTGCAAGAAAATTTAGTCACTTCCAAGAGAAGCTAGGGGTCAGAATTGCAGTTTCTTTCCAACTGACAGGAAATACTATAGATCTTTTCTTAGAAAAACTGTGTTGCTGCCATGTTCTGCATTCTGGACTTAGCCTCAGACAATGACATCTGTGTTAAGAATCTCCTCCTTGAACTCACCCCTTATTAAACTCTGTCTTAAGCACGCAGTCTCCCTTCGTACACAACATAAGATTTTAGTAGCTAGATTCTTTTGCTAATGCACTGAGCATAACAGAGTACTCACAGCTGCAAGGGATGAGAGAGGCTTTCTAGACTAAGTGTCAGCACTATAAATCCTGTGCTTGGCATAGGCAGCATGTAGGAGGTGACTGGTCTGTTTGAAAGGAGACAAGTCAACAGAACCTCCATTCTTGGAAATATTCAAAACTTGACTGGATATGGCAGAGAGCAATCTGATGCAACATTAAATTTGCATCTAACTTTGCAGCCAGATCTATGGTGAAGCAGTCGAGTCAAAGATTGGACAATACCACATGGTAAAGTCACATTCAATCTACGATTATATTTCTTTGGAGGAATTAGTTTAAGTCAATACTTTCTGTTAAAATTTTTTGAAGCATCTTTCTTCTACAATAGCTTATTCCAGGAAAGTGGCATAAATACTATAGGACAGAACACTGCCTCCTTGAGTAGGACCTTCCTGGTTAGCCAGACAATAAGTCAGTTCTCATCTTCAGTTGTGTGAAAAACACACATGCAGCCTGTTTGCTATTACTGAAGTGCAATGGCAGAGTTCGTCTAATGTGAAATAGCTGGTGTTGAGAACAACATCCACATTATACACATCTTGGGGATTTTAGGTTAGATCAGTTTTATCCCAAGCACATGGACTGAATGCTCATTAGCAGTTTGGAACCTATCTTCAAATTCAGTTTCATCAAAGAGGAACGCAATTCATAATATATGATGCAAACCATGAGGCATCTGACAATAAGCAGGCATCATCCACAGACTTGCTTCTAAAGTACACTCTTAATCAGAAATAAAATGGTAACGTAAATATATCCAGAGGATGTCCATGGTGGTGAAATTCAAAGTTGTTATAACCCACAGGAGATGAATAGGCATTCAGTGGAAACCATGACAGCAAACATCATGACAGTACTCTACTCAACACATAAAAGTAATTTCCTATGTCTTTAATATTAACTGTTACCTGAAGTTTTTCACGTGATCTTCCACTCCTGAGAGCCGAATAGAATGCTGTAGTGCATTCAAGTAAGTCAAAGCTTGCGTTGAGGATCCCCAGTTCACATCTGTTGGAAGATTTGAAGTTCCAGTATTTTATTTAAAGCTGTTCATTGTAAAACTACATCATCACAAAATGAATGTCAAATACCAAGTGAAAACACAGAAGATTTAAGCTTCATCTTGGTACATTCTACACAATACTAGTCACCAAACCCTGCAGCTAAGTAGGCAATTCTATTTAAAGATAAGGTTTCTGTAGAAGTTTTAGCAAACAAGTTAAGAGTTTGATACCTTACAATTATAGGAAGAAAGAATTGAAGGGGTTTTTTCCCCCCAACATTTCAAGATTGTGATTACTTCACAGTCAAAAAAACCACTTCAGTAAAAACTGCCGTGCTTAGTTATTTTATATCACAGTAAAGGAAAAAGTAATCTCAAAACACTGCATAAACAAGGTCAAATACTTTCAGTGAAAAACTGTTAGACTAAACAGTTCCTTTTACATTATTATTTTTATACGGAAATTAAATATCCCAGTATTCTCTCTATTTGTTCCCATATACATCTTTTGATAGCTACAATGATTTTATCATCTAAGTACTTCATAATTTTCATAACCCAGGATGCAGGATTTTCCTTATTTTCAACTTCAGCAACACTTTTTGATTCAGTATTCAGAGTATTGCTCTATCTTGCACTTACAGAATCATAGAGTTGTTTGGGTTGGAAGGGACCTTTAAAGGTCATCTAGCCCAACCCCACCTGCAATGAGCAGGGACATGTTCAACTAGATCAGGGTGCTCAGAGCCCCTTCCAACCTGATCTTCAGTATTCATTTCCAGGGATGGGGCATCTAACACCTCTCTGGGCAACGTGTGCCAGTGTTTCACCACCCTCATCCTGAAAAATTTCTTCCTTATATCCAGTCTGAATCTACCCTCTTTTAGTCTAAAACCATTACCCCTTCTCCTATCACAACAGGTCCTGCTAAAAAGTCTGTCCTCATCTTCCTTAGAAGCCCCTTTCAAGTACTGGAAGGTCTCCCCAGAGCCTTCTTTTCTCCAGGCTGAACAACCCCGACCCTCTCAGCCTGTCCTCACAGGAGAGGTGTTCAATCCCTCTGATCATTTTGGTGGCCCTCCTCTGGAC